TTTGTCGGTAACATAGAGTTGTTTCCTGATTTGTATAATCCAATATCAGTTAACCCCCAAAACAATACAAATATATATTAAAAACTAAAACTAAAAATATGCATAATTACTTTAAAACAATTTAAATTGAAATTTAAAAGAAAAGAAAAAAGATGTCACTCTTTAAAGAAAAATAAAGTCATAGGCTGATAGCATGTTTAGTTTTCTATTTAATTTTTTTTTCTTCTTGAAACAATTCTATTTAGAATTCCAAAACCATGGTTTCGGCAAAAGCTACCCAAACTATGGTTTAGGTCCTTCCAAACGGCAAACAAAAGATACATGCAGAGAGAGAGATAGAACTCTTTTTGTTCAACAAATAATAATATTCATGATGATTTGCTATTAATAATTTAATTCATTGATTTGCGGATTTGCCTGTACCTTACACCTAATTTTTTTTGTCAATTATATCTTTTATTTTCTAGTCCATATTGTTAACTCCAACCAGCCTAATAGGACAAATTAAAATGAAAAATAATTAATGAACAAAATATACATTTAACAAAAGTTGACAAAAGAAGTTGAAAACACTGAATAATAATTTTACCCCTTTACAGTATGGTACTACATATGGTAACAAGGTACTTGGATCCCCATCCAACTCATTGATAAAGAAAATAATTGAGAAGATAAGAAGCATACCCACCTCAAAAAAGAAAAAGCTGGGTTGAACATCACATACTACATTCAAATGGAAAAAGATCTCACAATCACAGTGCAGCATTCCTCTTACATCTCAGGGTGCATGATGTCTCCGTCATGCTTTCCAGTCCACAACGAGTTTCAGTACTCTCGAATCAATTACTGCAACAGTCTTAGCAAGAGGGGCTGGTGGTGGAGGAACATCCTTAAAAGGTTCATCATGAGGGAGAGAAAGACTTTGCGTAGATCCAAACCTATATCATTTCACTATGATGCTGTTAGTTACTCTCAGAATTTTGATGAAGGTTGCCATCTTGAGGAACCTAGACGGCTTTCAAGAGTGTGTCAAGATGTTAGGTGGGATCATTTACATCACTGATTCTATATAATATATATGCTTGCCTTGTGAATTGTGATTCTATGTGCCTTTTTAGGTTAATTTGAATGTAAAGCAGACTTTGGCATTTGTTTTGATAGATTGTAACTTATAATATTTTTGCCATTTAATTCATTTAAGTATTTACCAAATGGTACAAATCTATATTCAAGTCTTTATATGGTATCTCATTCATATATATATATATATATGATTATACCAAAGATCTATTAATTAATTGAGAATTTGTTTATTAAACTGGATCTGCCAGGACTTCATCTATTCTTATTACTGTGCAATCTTTTGATTGCTGCCATTCTGCTTGTCTTATATGTTAAGTGTTGCTGCGCTCCACCACCGGTTGGATTCTCACTGCAAAACATGAAGCAGTTGGCTACCCAGGTCTCATCACACATGATGCTTCACTCTCTAGTCAGTGAAATAGAGCATGTCTAACTCATAAATATGAAACCCCCCTTCATATTTTCTGAGGTGAAAAAGAAAAGAAAGAGATGCTCTTCAAGTGAACTTTGTTAAGGATTATAATGATCAAAGAATAGAATGCAAATTCTTGGGCTGTACAAGTAACTTCCTTTCTTAGGAATCACCCTTGTATATATGATATGTATGTCTAATAATAGATTAATGACTTCTTGACTACTGAAATGACAAGAAATTGTGAAGATCTATAATGCATTTGCATATTTTCTGTGTGTGTTAACCTTACCTTAATTACATCTTTGAAGCCAGTTGGTTCCTTTCAGTATCTCTACAAAATTTGACTCTTTGAGACTAATCCGAAATGCGAGAGAGATGAGAGATGAAAATATATAATGCCTTTGCATAATTGTAATGAGCCTAGCATACTGGCTTGCTTGTTTATCCTTTTGGTGAGGTGTGGCTGTGGTGTACATTCCTTAGTTTACTTGTATAAAAAAGAATATGCTAATGGTAAGGATGGGCATCGATCCAAACTTCTTCTTTTTCTTTTCTTTTTTGGCTTAAATCGATTTGGTTCCAAACCAAATTTACCGAACTTTTTTTTTTTTTCTCATACTGGTTCAGAACTTCAGAATCAATTTATGTTTAAGAACCTGTTTGGATGTGCAAACGAATTCCAAACTAGTATTAAATTGATTCCGAACCAGTTTCAAATTGTTTACAAATCGGTTTTTCAAACCAATTCTTTTAGTTCAGTTTAATTTTTAAGTCCGTTTAATTTCAATTCCAATTTAATTCGGTTGGATTTGGTTATTTTGGAAAGCTCCTGTTAGTGATATCTGGAATTATTATTATATACAGAAATCTGCTTTATCTCTCTCTTTTTGAGATGCGTAGCTACGTTTCACTTCTTGTTATTCTTTTGCATAAAGCAACAACCGTCCCATGAATCAGATGCTGATATGAAATGAGAAGCCGATGTGAAAAGTACAGTGTTAAGAAATCATGCTTGCATTATGTAGGAAGAAATATGAAAAAGTCAAAAAAAAAAAAAAAAATGAGAGTAAGAATATGATGGTCCACACTGACCTGCTCTAGTTAATATTTATTTATTTATTTTTTAAAAAATGGGCTAAAAATAAAATTAAAATTGTCTTCAATCGGTTTTATTTTTTTTCGAAAATTTTAAACTTAATTTGTTTCACTAATTATTTGATTCTTAATTTATAAAAAAAACTCAGTTTTTTTTCTTTTTAATTTATATAATGTGGAACAAGTAGCAACTTATGATATAATGACAGTTAATTACTATTTATAATAATGTGAAACTTTATACTTTTCCTTTTTACTGATAATGCTAGTATCAAATGAGAAGTTTTGTCTATACTTTTCCTTTTTCAGAAGAAGATTATACTTCTAACTTATTTTTGTTTACAACTTTTTACAATCATAATTTTAATCGTTAATTTTCGTCAATCAACGGTTATTATTTATTGTAAATTAATAATTAATAAATAAATTTAATTTATGAAAATAATAACCGTTGATTGACGAAAATCAATGGTTAAAATTATGATTGTAAAAAGTTATAAACAAAAATAAGTTGTAAGTATAACTTTCCTCTTTAATTAAATCTTAAAATATCTCTCTCTAATTGACCGATTTTGATTTTGATTTTTTTCGAGACAATGAGGTGTCCTTCTAAGAGTAATCAAGTAATCATGATTAGAGCATTAACTTGACTTTGGACACAATGTAATTCTAATAAGTTTTAAAATCCTTTACTATGAGAAATTCTTATTACTGTAATACTCTAAATAATTAAAATTTAATTTAAAAGTTTTATTATATAATATTTTAAATTCAATCCAACCAAATATATGGCTATGTTGTTCATTAGAAGTTATAAAGACGTATACATTAAAAATCAAAATAATAAATATGTAATCACGCAAATAGCTCCTTTGAAAAATGCGTAATGAATGCGCCGAATAAGCGTTTAGGTAGAAAGTGGAAGGTAACGCGTTTGGCGTTGAATACACGAGGACTTGGACGCTTGGACCACTCATATTAATGATTAATTAAAAAATATAAAAAACGATTTTGCGGTAAGATATTTTGTTCCTCTCCCGCGATATTTACTGTGCAGGTAACAACTGAGAACTAATAAGTAAGAACCCTTTCTTCTTCTTCAACCTTCATATTCTCTTTTCGCACCAATGCAGATATCGTTGATTCCATTGTTTGATTGCTGTGCATGCACATTTATTCTTTGTATCCAGAAAGAGCACAACATCGAAATTCTATCTCGATTGCTACAACTTGTTGCAGCTATAGAGCTATAAACAAGCAAGGTATTAATGCTTTAAATCAAACTATTATCTAAGAATGTTGTCAATGAAATGCTGTTGTATCTTTAGAGGTGATGGATAGAATTAACATGTGCTAAGTGTGAATTTGCAGTTGTGTGAAGCTATGGATAAGATTCTGTTGTAGGTTTTTTAGCCATGCACAGAAAATTGCATATGAGGAAGAGAATTTCTTGTAGTCACTGACATTGTGGAAGGGCAAAGTCAATGTGTATATTGGAGATAGCTGTGAGAAACCGCATAGTTTGACTTGGAATGAACGGAATGGCGATAAAGAGCGTCACTTCAGTAGCACAAGTGAAGTACTAATGATTTTGCTTAACATGAGAGTTTATTATTCCGTTATTGAAACACTTCTTTTAACAAAAAAATAAAATAAAAAGTATAGCTATAGCTGATGAGTAAAATTATATTGACAAATTTTTATTTTACAAACTTACAAACTATATTATCTACTCAAGAGTGTCTTACTAATAAGACACAGTTTAGTTTGTAAATAAAAAAATTGTAAATATAACCTTCTCATATTAAATAACTTCTGCATTGTCATTTACAGCAACTACTCCTTTTTTTTTCCTTTTTTAAGATGAGAGAAAAAGAGGGGAAGGTAAACTTGCCAAATATACCCCTTTGAGTAGTAATCTCTTTGTTCTTCTTTAGAGCGGAGGAGGAAGGGAGAGGGAAAGAGTAGAGGAAGTGTGATTTCTTTTGCAAAGATATATGCTGAATGACATAGAATGTAAACTCTATAGCTATTCTTAGTGTTTTTGTGTGGTTAAAAAAGAAGCATTTGTGTGGGATTTCTCATATATTTTGTAATTTATCTGCAAGGAATTGTTGGTTACAGAAGGAAGATATAATGTCCATGCCATATTATTCAAGATTTCCTATAGTGCAATTTTACATGCAAATGTCATTGTACTGATTAGCTTTTATCTAACCCATCCAATTTCAGGAAGTGCATTCTTCTCTGCTGGGATTCTCTCAGTGATGTCAGTACTGAGTAAGATTCAACCACAAGAACTTTTCAGTCTTCACTTCTTTGGATGTGATTATTATGCTGCGATATCATTATATCTTTCTTTTCCAAATGTGTTGCTAAAATGTCATACCAAAGAAGACTTTGACCTTCATTTTGTGGCACTGCCTGATGTCTCACAGGCTTCTTGCTCTGGCTGGGATAACTGAAGTTGGATGAATGCATATGGATCCCCTCCTGCATGAATACCATATGGAAGTGGAACAAATGCATTTTTGCTTGTTGTGGCCATATCAGCTGTGTCATAGACCTGGGACATCAAGCTTCATTGTCAAGCAATCTGTGCTTTCTATTGTCATTTGTCACACTTCATGGCCAAAGTGAATGTAAGTCTTGTAATTTTTGGGGATGCCATGCAGATTAACTAACTAGGCTACCTTTTTGCATAGTTGTGTATTTTCTTGTTGAATGAGGTTTACCTTCTTATAAAGTTCCACATTTTCCTGATGGATAATGTTGCCCTGTATTTTAGAAAAACAAAATATATAAGTCAGTCACTGTTATAAAATTTTTAGAGGGAATTTTGTGAAGATCACTACTGAGAAAGACCTTTCGATTCAGCTCTTGGATTTCATCCGTAAGAATTTGTTCCTGCAGAATTTGACAAAACTTGTTAATTGCTTTCTAGTGTTTAGCATGGTCCTTAATGAGATTAACCAATCTAGCACATTTATCTTCATTCCTTCTCAGTGTGAATCTAAAAAGTAGTTGACCTTTTTCATGCGGACACCTTGGAGACTCATTTCCAGTTGATTCTCTAGATCTTGTAGGTTTCTGACACTCAAACCGTAAAGCTGTTCTCCCATCAATTGCCTGTGTCCTCAGAATGTTAATGTTCTCATGCATAGAGGTTAATGAGATGTGCGATTTTGTTCTCTTCAATTAGTCACCATTAATAACAAAAAACGAAAATATTTCTTTTTTCTATTTTGGAGTATATTGCATGATGTATTAGATTAGTGTTTGATTGATGTGGTAGCTCCATAGTAGAATTTGTATTCAATTGATTTGTTGTGTGCATAATCATGGGATTTACATGTGAGGTTTTGTTTTTCTTTCCCTTTATCTAATTCCCAAAAAATTAAGAGAAAAAACAGAAGAAAAGAAGGTAGAAGAGTTTTCACTTCTACCAAAGCCTTCCTTATGGATGGTTCCTGGTGGGTCATTTTATTCATGTTTATTGGCAATAGTCTAAGATGGCGAGGAAAGTGAGTGCTGCTTCTGTATGGACTATTTTTCATTTCATGCTATTCTGGGAAAAAAAAAAAATACTAGCGTGACTAATTCAGAGCAAGGCAGTTTTTTATGTGTGATTCAAATATTTAAGTGGTGTCTCTTCCAAATAGGTTGTACAAGATGATGTTTTTTTTTTTTTTGAAGAACCTATACTTTTATAATTTGTGATGTTCTTGTTATCCATAAACTCACTGATATAGAACCAGAGGATTTCAATCTGCTGGTCCATGTTTACTTCTACAAATCAATCTCACTTCTATAAGTGCCACTCATATTATATGTATAGAAGGAATATTTTATTGTATGTCTTTCCTTTTACCTTTTGTCTTCATTTTTTTTAATATTTAGGTTTGTCAACTTTATTTTATTTTTAAATTTTTTTAGATATTTAAGTGGTTATGGTAGTAAATTTTATTCGGTTGTATTGGCAGGGTAACAAACACTAGTGGATATTTACTGGCAGTGTATGGCATTAACAATTGCATTTCTTTCCCCAGTTCCAAGGGCTCTATCAAAGCTACTGAAATATAAATTTAGTATAATGAAAGTGGTTTAAATATATGCATGCCTTAGTTTGGAAGTTTGGATTGACTTTGCTCACTTCTTGTTTCTTTTTATCTAATTTTTAGTTTTTTTTGCAATGGAAGATTATTTCGTTAGCAGGGATTGGAAATTTATTTCTAATGATTGGAGACTAAATGGAATTTGCAGTGACAATCAAATCTTAATAATATATCATGGACATTTTGTTGGATTCAGTGCAGCATGCCATGACACACCAACCTACTGTAGTACGGTAATACCTTATTGTCTGATGCTGAAGCCCTTCCAGAACAATACCTGGTATATACTTTGTAAAATTATAAAAAAAAAATTGCTTAATAACTTAGTAGGAAGGGTTGTACCGATGGTTTTCTTGTAGATTCTGTATTTGCTGCCTTAAAATTTCTGCCTCCCTTTGCCAAAACTATCAATTATCAAGAAAAATGATGTAGATGAGTGATGCAAAGGCAAAAAATGCAAAGAGATGATTTTCTTCATTTTGAGTTAAATCTTAACAGAATGCTTCAGCATGATCCACAATGAGATATGAAATCGTTGTGGTGTAAATTTAGAAATTGAGAGTCAAATTTATAATAAGCAATAACCAGATGTAATTGTTTCTTTGTTTTTATAAGGCCAATATGGTGTTTCCATTTGCCATATAATATGGAGCCACTACAGAGAATAGTAAAGATTACTCACGAAATCTTGATTACTTAATGTCCAAAAAAAAACCCTAAAAGTTTGACAGGAGGGACATTTATAGTCCCTTCAAATTCCTAAGGAATAAGGTTCTTGCCTTACTAAGAGAAAACTAGGAAAGTAATATCCAGTTCAGGCAAAACACGAAATCCCCAACCTTGCAAATTAAAGTCCCCTAAATTAACAATCATAATTTACATAAAACCCTAGCTCCAAAATAAAATTTTACATAAAAAGGCCTTGTTCTCCATCAACTCTGTTTGTTTATGTTTAATTCACTATGGATTGTTTTGGTGATATTCGTTTCCTTTTTCTTCCAACATGGAGGTAATAAAATTGTTACCATTTGAAAGGGAAGAAGGTGGGAATGGATTTCCTTCTTAACCTTACTCTGTTTCAGAATGCTAATTCCAACCCTTCCTCACCCTTCTCTGCTTTTCCTTTCATCCCAAGCAGGTTCTTGGGTCAAATGATGCATAAGGCTCATTTGAGCGAACCTATGGTTTTAATGCAATGATAAATGCTGGCAACTTGTGTATCACTTTTATGTATGCAATTGCATCATTGCTTGTGATGAGATTTATATAATTTTTGGGGTTTGCAAGTTAATTAATGAGGTTTAAAATTTTAGATGTGCAACTGATATCAGTAACCAAAAGAAAAAGTGGCAATGGTTCAGGATTGGGACTAGACAATAGAGAACTTGAACTGAAATCAATGTGGGACTGAACTGAACAGCAAAGAACTTTCTCATATTATTTTAGAATATAAATCGTTCTTATATATTGTTGGACCTTGAAATTAGTTTATGAGCATAGAAGGAAAAAACAGAACAAAGCCCATAATGGGAGGCCCAAGGAAAATCAGGAGAGCAAGGTAAATGCCATTGAGGAACTTAAGGAAAATGTGGAGAATGAGTTTGTTATTAGGAGCTACACGTGGAATGCGCTGAATGGAGAAAAGGTAGTGGGAGGGAACCATGTTGGAGAGTTGGTTATAAAGGAAAAGTTGGAGGATGGTGGGGGGACATCTGATTAGCAACAGCTTGGTGGAGTAGGAGAGCTTGGTGAGGAGTGGGGGTCTTTTCCTCATTAAGGAATGTCAGGAGGGAAAATCGAATCCGCAGCACAGCTTGGTGAATGGTTTTGTGTCATCGTTAATGACAGTATTTTAATTACGGTACCTCATAGGGTCTGACCTTGAGACTTAGTCATTTGTGTTACTGTTATCATTAATCTTGCAAATAAGAGTGGTCTCTGTAAGGGCTTGTCCCAATATTTTCACTGGAATTTTGGTATTTCTTGATTAGTGGTACCATCATATACCAACTCTGCCATCTCTGCTCATAAATATTATAAAGAGCACTGGTAATACTGTTTGGCTTGATGCTTGAATATATTCTAGTAATACTGTTCAGTCAAAACAAACAAACTATTTCCTAATAGAGTTATGTTCATATGGCAGTTCATAACTCCATTAAAAAATAGTTCGTTTGACTTGGCTAATTAGGATTCTAGAATATTAATTATAACAAAAATACATGTAATTGTTAACTGTGATTGAAGTTAGATCTTAGGAATCATGCTTGATCCAGACTAACATTTGTCTTGCATAAGCAATTTATGTGTTGTATTCTTTTGTTATTCTTAATCTGTAAGATATCAATAACACTATTGAAATGCTCACAATTAATTCTTGATAATTCTGGAGGATAAGAATGCATTCTTGCCCCCTGGAATTAATTCTGGTGGACAAAAATGGTTTGTCTATTCCCAAAATGCATTCTGTTGTCCTCACTGTATTTTGGCAGAAGTAGCTTTTTGATACTTTTGCCCAAAATGCATTTTAGGTTCAAGGAACCAGTTTGTCCTTATTAAAATAATAAATACTGACACAGCAGAAAGCTTTATTTTTTATTAAAGTATTTTCACACACAAAACCACTCCCTATGAAATCCTGACTTGCGAGAAGATAGTGGTGAAGAAAATCTTTGTATGTGGTCTTATCTTTGCATTTTTAAAAATAAATTGTGATTAAAAATTGGTTTTGTGAATGGACAATTTTAATGAACACTATTGAACAAACTCATCTCTTACAAAATCTTTTAAGTGAACATTCCTAAGCATAAAACTCATTCTATCTAAAGTAATTTTTTCATAATCAATTTTTCTAAATTTCATTCTTCTCAAAGTAGTTCTATACCAGCTAGTGTTAACTGTTAGATATAAAATTAATCATGAGTTTTTACATAACAACTTAAGCTTTTGTGGAGTTGGCCTTTGTTGTGTCTCGGAGACCGGCACTTTGCAGCCCAACCTCTATGTCGAATAGCTTGGCCTTCTTCAGGTTGGCTTGTGGAAGTGTTGATGAACAAACAACAAAAACGAAAATAAATAGAGACAAGGAAATCAGAGAACACCAAAAAATTTAACGTGAAAAACCTCTTCGATGTGAAGAGTAAAAATCATGGGACCAAGTCCAGAAAAATTCCACTATAAAAAATTGGATTACACAAAAGATTCACTTTGACTCAATAACCAGAGGACTTCAACCTCTAGAAAGATGGGTTAGACAAGTGTCTCAAACAAATGTTTCTCTCTGTAAAAGGGATAGGAATTCTACTTTACAAGGCATTCTTCTTCTTCAGCAATGACATTGGGTTTCTTCCTCAGAGGACCTTCGTCTCTGGCTTGAGCTTTCTCTTGCACTTTTTTCTTTCTTCATGTTTGCCTCTGTTTTCTCTCTCTTGGCTCTGACGGCTCAGCATCTAAGCATCTCTTATAAACAAGAGATCATGGCACCTATTAATTGGGCCAAGTCCATCATGGGCCACAGACCCAACAAATCTCCCCCTCCGTGCCCAAAGGGGAGGATATCCCTTCATTCGGGGTATGGGGCCAAGGTAGTCAATTTGGCACCTTCACAGCAATCTTCAAACTTCCATGTTGGTACCGTCTTGCTTCATGTCCGACCAGTTCAGATCGGTATGCACCTTATCGAGCTGCAGAAACTTCTTTTCTATCCCATCTCGGATCCAATGGTAGCGCATGTCTATGTGCTTTGATCGTGCATGGAAAGTTTAGTTCTTCGCTAAGTGTATAGCGCTCTGGTTATCACACTTCAGCATATACTTCTCCTGAATGTGGCCGAGCTCTTGTAGGAAACTCTTCATCCACACTAGCTCCTTACAAGCTTCAGTTGCAGCAATATACTCGGTCTCGATAGTAGACAAGGAGACACACTTTTGGATTTTGGACTGTTAGGAAATAGCTCCCCCCATAAAGGCAGTCAGGTAACCTGTGGTCGACTTCCTCGAAACGTCATCTCCACCTAAGTCGGCATCCGAGTCGACTTCTAACTCGGGTTTTCCTCTTCCAAAACTGAAACACATGCTTACTGTGCTTTTGAGATATATGAATATCCATTTGACAACGTCCCAATATTACTTTCCCGGGTTCAACAAAAATCGGCTTATAACCTCGACTGCATGAGCAAGGTCAGGCCTTGTGCGTATCATTGAATACATAAGGCTTCCTATAGCTGACTGATATCAGACCTTTGACATCTCCTCTCTTTCTTCATCACTGGTTGGACTTTGTTTCTGACTCAACTTGAAGAGTCCTTCCAGAGGAGTAATAATCATCTTGGATTGGTTCATATTGAATCTCTTCAAAATTTTCTCTATGTACATCTCCTGAGATAGCCACAACCGCTTCTTTGAGCGATCCCAGACAATCTTCATCCCTAGTATTTGTCTTACTAGGTCAAGATCTTTCATAGCGAACGTCTTGCTGAAGGCTTTCTTGAGGGCATTAATCTTCCTCATGTCTTTCCCTATTATTAGCATGTCATCAACGTAGAGCAAGAGGACGATTAAGTCGGCGGTATCATACCTCTTGATAGACATACAATGATCTGCTCGAGTCTTCTTGAAGTCATGCTGAGTCATGAAGGATTCGAACTTTCTACACCACTATCGAGGTGCTTGTTTCAGGCCGTACAAGCTCTTCTTAATTCAGCATGCCAGATATTCTTTACCGGAACTTCAAAACCTTTGGACTGCTCTATGTACATTTCTTCTCCTAGGTCTTCATGAAGAAAAGTCGTCTTCACATCAAGTTGTTCGACCTCTAAGTCTTGAGTGGCCGCTATGCCTAGAATAGTTCGGATTGACGTCATCCGCACCACTAATGAGAATATCTCCTCAAAATCTGTCTTTCTTCTGATTGTACCTTTTCATCACAATTCGTGCTTTATACCTCGGCTTTGGGTTGTTATCTTCCACCTTGAGCTTGTATACCCATTTGTTTTTTAAAACATGTATGCCCTTTGGTAACTCAACTAGATTAAAGGTGTGATTCTCATAGAAGGATTTCATCTCATCTTGCATAGCTTTCTCTCATTCTTCCTTTTTAGCACTGGTCACTACCTCTTCATAACTCTGAGGCTCTCCTTCTTCTACTGATTGTATACTCTTCTGCAAGATATCTGATGGAAGGGCGTCTAACTCGAACATATTGTCGAGTTTATGGTTGCTCTTCGAGACTCAGCTTTGTTTCACCTCGAACTTTGATATGTTCTGATTCTGTCTCACCTTTAGTTGGTGGCTCTTCCTGTTGTCCTCCCTCCTTAGTATTTTGCTGATTGTATTTCCCCCCTGCTTCAGCTCGGACAGGGAGACGAGGTCTTCTTGACAAACTATAGCTCGGACCTTGGGCCTCTGGATGTCCTCAATAGTCTAATTCTCCAAGAACACTACATCTCAGGTTCTCACAACCTTCCTATTGACGGGGTCCCAAAGATGATAACCTAACTCGTCCTTTGGTAAGCCGAGATAAACACACTCCTTGGTCTTTGCATCTAGCTTTGCTCGTTCATCATTGGGAATATGCACAAATGACTGACACCTGAATTCCTTCATATGCTCTTACTTTGCCTTTTAACAAGTCCAGACTTCTTTTGGGATATCTCCTTCCAAAGGACTTGAGGGTGACAGTTTACCAGGTCAATTGCAGTCTTAACGACTTCTCCCCAAAACACCTTGGGAAGCTTAGCATATGACAACATACTTCAAACTCGTTCTTCGATAGTCCGGTTCATCTTTGCGGCTACACCATTCAATTGATGTGTCTTCTTCAGCTTTATACCTGCCACTCTGCAGTACATCTCGAATGGACCTCGGTATTCTCCGCCGTTGTCAACTTCCTCTCAGTCTCCCTTTCAGCCCTTGCATGGAACTCTTTGTACGCTTGGAGTACTTGGTCTTTCGTATTTGGCAAGGACACACACTCTTCTGGTGTGATCATCAATGAATGTGATGAAGTAATATGCACCACCTAGAGATTTTTTTGACATAGGATATACGTCAATATGGATAAGATCAAGAACATACCTCTTTCTTCTAGGTTGGTCTGGCCTCTAGAATGAAACTCGGCATTGCTTGCCGACTAAGTGTGTGCATGTCTTCAGGAGTTGACCTTTCAAGTTTGGAAGCAGTTCCTTCTTGATGAGAATTTGCAGACCTTTCTCACTCATGTGTCAAAGTCTCCTGTGCTAGAGCTCTAGACTTGATTTGTCTTGGATAACATTGATCTATGCATTGCCGACCTTCCTTTGCATCGTAGAGAGATCCTTCCTTTTTACCTCGAGCTACCACCAAGCTACCTTTGGCGAGTTTCCATCTTCCTCCACCGAAGTAATTTACCAACCCGGCTTCATCAAGCTTACTTGCCGAGATGAGGTTGAGTTGCATATCAAGAACGTGTCTGACCTCGTTCAGAACTAGTCTACAGCTCATGTTGGTCATCATCGTGAGTTCTCCAACTCCCACTATCTTGCTGGTAACCTGGTTACCCATCCTCATGATACCAAAGTTGCCGCCTTGATATGATGAGAAGAACTCCTTGTGGGGTGTCACATGGAAGGATGCTTCCGAGTCCACAACCCATGAATAGTCGTCATAGGCCACATTCAAATAGTTGTCTTCATCAATCAGGAAGACATTGACCTCGGCATTGGCTTCTACAGTCGTGGTGCTCTGCTCTTCTTTCTTCCTTGGATCTATCGCGTCCAGCTTAACATTGCTTGTCCTCTAGTCCTCCTTCAGAGTTTGGCATTCAGACTTCCAGTGACTCAGTCTTCCATAATAAATGCATCTGAGGCTCGGCCTCGGCTTTGACCGACCTCTAGACTTGTCATGACCACGACGTTTACTTCTACCTCGGTGTGCCATTCTTCCACGATTTTCAACGACATTCGTTTATAATGATGGGTTATACCTCGTTCTTTCCTCCTACCATCTTCATTCAGCAAACTGTCTGCAACTGAGTCCAATGTCATCTTTCCTTTTGGAGCTGAGTTACTGAGTGTCACAACCAAAGTATCTCAGCTCTCAGGCAACGAGCTGAGTAGCAAAAGTGCTTACAACTCGTCATCAATCTTCATATCAATCATCGTCAGCTGATTAAAAATCTATTTGTATGTATTCAGATGCTCAATCATGCTCTGTCCGTCCTTGTAGTCTAGCTTTACAAGTCGCCGCACCAGGTATGCTTTGTTGCGTGGCGTCTTCTTTTGAATTAAGGATTCTAGCTTTGTCCACAACTTGCGAGCGATTGTGTAGGTCGACACATGCTTGAACAAGCTTTTATCAATATACTTGCGGATTATAGGGACCACTTTCTAATTCAGGACATCCCACTCTTTATCGCTCTTCTCTTCTGCCTTGTCCGCGCTCAAAATAGGTTTATATAAATCCTTGAAATAAAGATGATCTTCCATAATGGGTTTCTAGCATGATTTGTTCTTTGTGGTGAGTTTGAACAGGTCACCATCATGCGTTACGGCAGCCTTCATCTCTGACCTCACAGAGCCCTTGATCTAAGAACTCTGATACCATATCATTGTTGTGTTTCGGAGCCTGAGACTTTGCAGCCCGGTCTTTGTGTCAATTAGCTCAGCCTTCTTCAGGTAGGCTTGCGGAAGTGTTGATGAACAAACAATAGAAACAAAAATAAACAGAGATAAGAAAATCAGAGAACACCAAAACTTTTAACGTGGAAAACTTCTTCGATGTGAGAAGTATAAAACACGGGACCAAGTCCGAAAAAAACTTCTCTATGAAAAATGGGATTGCACAAAAGATTCACTCTGACTCAATAACCAGAGGACTTCACCCTCTAGAAGGATGGGTTAGACAAGTGTCTCAAACAAGCATTTCTCTTAGTAAAGGGGATAGGAATCCTACTCTATAGGGTATTATTCTTCTTCAGCAATGGTGTCGGGTTTCTTCTTCAGAGAATCTTCGTCTCTGGCTTGCGCTTTCTCTTACGCGTTTTTCTTTCTTCATGTCTGCCTCTATTTTCTCTCTCTTAGCTCTGACGGTTCAGTATCTTAGCATCTCTTATAAACAAGAGATTAAGACACCTAATTGTGGCAGGTCCATCATGGGCCACGGACCCAACAGTCTTTGACATGGTATTGAAGTCTCTTTGACCAAGCAATCGGGAATTCGATTCTTATTGCTCTCATTCTTATAAATATAAATTACATTTCAGCATATGGTAAAAATGGGTCAATCCTTGCATTTCAGTAGTTGGGTGAAGGCATAGAAATGGTTTTATTACATCTCTTAACACGCTTCCTCATGTAAGAACTCATTGGGCATGGAATGCCGATAATACATTTTTTTTTTTTTGGTGAATGCACTGGCTTATTTCTACCATGTGCTAAAACTCAATTTCTAGTAGAGTGGGTTCTTATCATACTATCAGTCTTAATGACTAAAAGGTCAACAATTTGTTTTTTTGCAGTCCCCATTCTTTTAAATAAAAATTGGATTTTAGCATAGAGTAAAAATGGGACAGTGCATTATTCACACTTCAAGCCCAAAAGGCTTTCATGAGAGGTGTGTTAGATATAAAATCATTCTTAAGCCTTCATTTGAATACTTAAACTTTTTGGGGAAGTTGATTACAGACAAACGAAGAAGTTTAGCACCATATAAGTAGTGTTATTTCATTTGAGTTGCTTTTCATCAACCAGCTTCATACGGAAATATAGGATTCCTGTACTTTTGAAAAAAGAATTATATGAGGTTATCCTGTCTTATTTCTTTTTCAATACCTAGTTACTTCACATGATGTAGTTAAGATACATTTTATCAACTTTATTTGATGACCATGTGGATCTCTCTTATTTTATAGTTACTTGTTTGCTTATTATGCTTGAATTTATGATGCAAAATATTACAATCATTGGATAACACTTTTAACTTTGTAATTAATCAGGAATTCTTATTTAAAAATACTGGAAAATTGTTTAATCTCACATTTTGCATTCTGTATGATACCAATTATGCAAGATGTGATTCCATATATTCATAGATTCCTAGTTATGTGATTATGTGCAAGGAGCTTGAAATAATTGATAAGTATTCACAAGTTTCTTATTTGTATTTCCGTATAGTACACATGCTTGTTCATTCATTTTTTAGGTTGTTCTATGTAATCTATTTGCACATTATTGTGCTATGTGTTGTTCAAAAGGAGGGTGGCTTGATGGCCTATGAAGCTAGAAAATGGTTGTTTTGGTAATGCGTAGGATTCAATTGATACACTTGACGCATGAGTAATGGAGTAATCATGTTAGATAAAATAAGTACAGTCCTGTCTCTGTTCTCATAATTGCTGACGGGTCACAGATTGGCCAAACTTATCTAGTTAGCTCACTATATCATAAATTAGGGTTAGCTCATTTGAGGGGAGGGGGATAATTTTGCTTTTACATGTAAAAGAAAAAATGATAAAACTCATGAATAAATAAACAAACGATGATAGACTTCAAATACACTTTGCTTGTAACGTTTATGAAGAACAAGGAATGGGACAATACTGAAGAGTGGTTAACAGAGCATACCTTGACTTCGGATTCTGGATTTGTCCGTTGTTGATGTGCCTCCTTGCTTATGTTATATCTCTCGATCACTGATTTCATGCTGGTCACATAAAAGAATAATCACATTTTTAATTTTGTTTTCCGAAATTGTCAAAAGCACCATTCATCATGGAAAGCTGTATCAGGAGAAGACATGGTGACAGCACAGCATATCACACCATCAAAAGATATATTTATCGACAGCTTCGTTTCTATGAGAAAAATGTTGAAGTAATCTAATAAAGGTCGTATACATGCCAGCCAAAGGTTGTGAAGTCTCCATATCATAAGATTCACTAATGAAACAACTTTACTAAGTATGGATAAGAGATTCATTACATTATGAAGTGATTGTTGCAAAATTATAGCTTTCCATTTTGCACTTATCATTTTTCTAGTTTTACTGGTGTCTCATTGCTGGCTCTAATTCAATGCTCCTGTTATTCAATATCAATAATACATTTATAACAAACTAATTGGATCGGCAATGTTATTGCTATTCAACTTGTGATTAATAATTGTTTTTATTTGTGCATTTTTCTCTCGGGTAGGATGGACGTCAACCTTTCTTGACCGGCTATATTATGGACTCTGATGTATTCAGTCAGAAGGACCAGTACTTGAACCATTCGTCTGGGAACATCAATAGCTCAATTTGTAAAGAAATGGAGCAAGACAACAATGGAGTAGAACTTTACAGTGATTCCAGACAAGAATAGTATTAAGTCAAGGTAATTATGTTGTGATGATTCAGCGTTTACCTTCTTCGCAAATAGATGATGGGTTGAGCCCAATTAACAATGATGCTGAGGTCCTAAAGTTTGCAGCTGATGTAAAGGGGTATGAGATTTGCAGCGTGGATTGAATCGGTTTTAAAGTAAAAATCATCAGATCCAATCCTTTTGATTTGATCATTTAATTATTTATTTGATTTGAATTTTTATTTAAATCCAATTCAATCTTATTCGGTTTGAATTAGATCGGTTTTTGATTTTTTGAAAAGCCTAACATTTTAGCCATATAAATCACTAGTTATATCAAAATAAAGCTATACAAAGTTACAAACTACTACAAAATTGAAGTCTTTAAACTAAAACAAGTCTTAAAATTCATTAAGAGTTAAAATAGATTAATAGACAATAAAAAATTAAAACAAGATAATTTGCTATTAATAGCATCCTAGATTCCAAGTCTACAAAACCATAGATTTCAAGTCATCATCTTTCAAAAATAATAAATACATAATAAATTGGTTCAGTTTGGATTGAATCGGTTTTCACCGACCAAACCGAAAATCGATCCAGTCCAATTAAAGTATATGAGTTTTTTTTTTCGATTTTCGGTTAATTCGGATATCAATTTTTTAGTTTGGTCATTGCAGTTTGAATCGGTTGATGAACACCCGTATATGAGACCATAGATGTTTATGTAGAGCACCTAATAGACACACCTTTGGTGATTGAAGGGGACCCTGATTCGTGAGACAGGGAAGTTGAAGTTGATGAAGTTGGCAATGTTGAAGGAAGCCATACAAAGGATGAAACATAAATTATGTGCAAGTGGAGGGAGAAGAAGACGCATACTGAGAGTGAAGTGGAGGAAGAAGAAATTATGTACCGAAGATGAAGATTACATTGCTGAGACAGAGGATGAGCAGGACAGTTGCAGTGATATTTCTTTGGATGACAGTGATTATGATGAGGAATGGGATTGGACTAGTGTATTGCCACCATAGACATAAGATCCGGAAGGTTATCAAAAACCTACTCAAGAGGCTAAGGAAAAAGCAAATATTGATCATAGTGAGTAGTGACCCAGGGATAGGTGATGTTGTGAGATTTGCAACTTCATCAAGAAACCTAGAGCCTACCACAGTTGTAGATTTTGAAAACGGAGATGGTGATTCGAAAGATATAGACAATCCACCTAATAATGATGAAGAAGACCAACAACGGCAGAAATTCCCCATGCCATGTTTAAGATGCCCGAAGACACTGATAGGTACAGTTTGATATAGGCGTTATTTTCAATTCTAAAGCCCTTGTTGAGGATGCTGTGAAAGAGTATGCAATGGTTCATAAGAAAAATCTGTATTTGGCAAAGAATGGCAATAATAGAATGGTGATTAGATGCATGAAAAGGTGTCATTTTTATGTTAAGATAAGTAAGTCAAGCTTTAAACATTATTTTCAAAACAAGTTGGTTTGGGAAGAAGTTCAAGAATCAAGACCACATTGAGGTAGGATCATATCTTCACTATTAAGAGAGTAGGGAATAGGTATCTTAACAAGAAAGAGGCTCATTTATTTACGGGAAAATATTTCTCCTTTTAAATGACACAACTTATGTCATTTCACTCTCACAAAATGGTGAGACTCATACTTTTATATTTTTTTGTTCACTCTCTCCTCTTTTATCTATCTCTTTCTTTCACTTAAAATGACACAACTTTACATCCTTTAAAATGATACACATTTTTTCCTCTGTTTATTTTTACTTATTTGTTTGACGTATCACGAAAATTATGTAGTGTGATTTAGTATTTCTTATTTTAAAAATGTACGTGAAAGGAACTTTTTCCATTATTTTAATAATTCTCTTAAATCTTCTACCGTTACTTTTTTTATATACCCTGTTGATTAACTAACAATATTGCATATCGAAACATGATTTTTTTTGTTTTTATTAGTTTCTAATATACGTTAGTTGGTTTCTGTGAAGGACTCATATATGTAGATTTTTTTAAAAAGGAAAAAAGGAAAATAGACTAATCAGCATGTAATTAAGACATGAGGATATATTTACAAAAAAAAAAAGACATGAGGATATAATAAAAACGGATAAGATAAAATATAAGAGAGCTGATTAAGAATAGAAAATGATATAATTTTGATAAGCTCATATTATATAGGGTGTTTGATGCAAAATATTTTATTAATATAATTTTATATAAGTTTTTAAATGAATTTTTAAGTTGTACTTTTTTCTTTTGACTTAAATAAACATTAGTCTCTATTTTAAATTATTTAAAAAATTATGAAAGTCATAATTTTAAATAAAATATATTAAAATACAGAAAATAACTTACAAAATCAAAAATGAAAAAAATTATATCTTCAGCAAATAAATTTTGAATTTGTTATTAACATAAACAATAACATTAACATGAAAAAAAAAATCAGAGTCACATGCAACACAAAATAGTTCAACTTTATTTATAACTCGAGTTAATTTATTTAATAAATATAAATAATTATTAATTATGTCAAGCACACTGCGCACAATAATAGGGATAGATATTTGTTGCTTGATGAAGTTAATAATTTTTTCTTCAAACACGCATATCATAATGGCGGCGGTAATGGTGTTAGCTGTGCTGGCTAATGATAGTGATATGGTTGAGACTCACGTTTTTGGAGAAGATTAAAGGAGGCAAGGGGTCACTTTCGGGAAAAAAACCTTTCTATCATATCCTATTAATTTTGATTAAGGAGGAATTGTCATGGTATACTTTTTTTTTTTTTACAAATAATATTGTGTTTATTGATGAGATTAAAGCTGGTAGGAAATTAGAATTGTGGAAAAATACGTTGGAGTTTAATTAAAGGATTTACGCTAAGTCATAGCAAGACATTGCATATGTTTGGACAAGAGATACTCAAGAAATATGCTTTTAGGTACCCGGAATCAATTTTACAAAATGGTGGAGAGATTAATAATAATGTAAATCATAAAATCAGAGCAGGTGGATGAAATGACATAATGCATCAAGATTTTTGTTTGACAACAAAATTTCCTTTATGCTAAAAGAAAAATTCTATAAAATTACAGCAAAGCCTGCAATATTAAATGGAGCTAATATTGGCCAGCACATCAGCAACATGAACATAAAATAAGAGTAGCAGAAATAAAGATATTAAGGTCGATGTGTGGTCTTACAAGGATGAATTATAAGATTAGAAATAAAGATATTCAACGAAAAATAAGAGTAATACTGGTGGTTGAAAAGATAGGAGAACATATGTTGAGGTGATTTGGGCATATGCTCCCGTAAGAACAAAAGTTTGTTATGAAAAGCTTGAAACAAAGAGAGAAAAAGGTAGACCAAAACTTCGAGAAAAGTAGTAAAACAAGACTTAATATAGTGAGATATAGATTGACGGACGATATATGTTAGGATGGATTGAAGGAAAGCTATTAGCATTATAGAGGGTAAACTCGTTTCACTTCCTATGTTCCAGATGATCCATCTTTATTCTTTTTTCGCTTTATCACTTCTTTTCTCTCTTTACCTCGCTTTTTTTAATATCTTTTCATCTTTTCTTTTATTTCTTTTCCTCCTCTCAATATTTCTTCTCTTATTTATTTATTTATGTATTTCATTTTTCCTTTCTTATTTTTTATTTTTAACTTATTATTCTTTTTTGTTCTCTTATATATCTTTATTTTCACTTTCTTTTAATTTATTTTTCTTTTCAATTGTTTATGCTATTTTTTTAGTGGATAATGTTACATGTATTTTTTATTTATTTATTTTTTCTTAATTTTTCATTTGGGTTCATTTTCCACCAACCCTAACTAGTTTGGGTTAAATATATTGTTGATGTTGATATTGATCTCATAATTTATAAATAATGGATAAAAACAGGATATAATAGCCTATTACATCATATGTCAAATATTCTGTAACTGGTCATAAAGAGTCAAAATAGTGGAAAGATTACTTGAAACTTTTGAAGTGAAAATATTACCTTTATGCTCACAAGCTATCTTTGTTCCCCATCCCCCTCTTTTCTTAGGTGTTTTTATGTCTTAATGTGAAATTAATCTTTGTTCGTAAACTTTTTTTGTATATCCCAACTGATCTATTGGAAATTTAATTAATCGATTCAAGTACTGCTTGTTCGCATTGTTTAATTGTGTGGTTTTTGTCCGATTAAAAGTAGAGCTAGCAATACGGGTCAACCCGATACGACACGACACGTTTTCGACCTGTACACTATTTGACATGACCCTGTCACGACCCGTTTTTAAACGGATCACAAAACACGAACCCTGGCA